CTTGAGACATTATCAGGCTCGAACCACTGCGCACTCTTGTTGGCTGCGGATGCCAGGGCGTGCCATGGTGAATGGACTGGATTTGGCGCGACGCCATCGTTTCCCACCGGCTGTAATCGCTTCCCTCTTTTCATTAATCTGAAGGGAACGGTCCGATGCCGCGCCAAACCCAGACGCTAGACACTCCTCAACATTCACAGCGAACAAGATCGTACTACCTACCCTACTTCCAATAAAGTCCTGATTCAGCAGAACGGTAACTAGGTAACAACAAATCTACGTACTAGTCCGGTTCCATTTGTCAATGTCTAGAAATATGGGCCTTGAAACAGAGATACCTACTGAATAGGTTCAAAATAAGAAAGTAAGTACTATAAAAAACGTGTGAAGGTTGTTTGGGGCGTAAATGGGAAAAATATAGCAGTGATGACTTGGCAGTCTATCGCTCTTAATTTGGTTAGCTTCCCTAACTCTTTTCACTGAGCCTTGTGAAAACCGTTTGGAAAACGATGGGGCTTCCCCGGGGACAAATTGGAACATTTGGATAGCGCAAAAATCGTATACGAAAACCGTTTCGATGGCGCCAAAAGCGCATAAAAACCAGAAAAAGTCCATAAGGGAGTAAAGTTGCAGGACAGATGGAGTTGCGCGTCCAAAAAGACGGACTACACCTTTTCGCTCACTAGTCAGTACGGGCCAGCTCTTACTGAGTGAGATTACATGTGCAGGGGCTTACCAAGAGCCTCTCTCATGAAGACGAACCCCGCCACTGTATATTGTGGATAGTGGAGTTCAATAATGAACCTGTTGTCACCAAGAGACTTTCCAGGAAATAAAATGTAAAAAAAATTGGAGAACATTTTAAGGACCCTATGGCAGCCTCACCGTACGAGTTTTGCGGGCCTGCTTGCTTTATGCCAGCAAAGCAATATCCTGCGGCCTCTGGTTCACTAAGGGTTTATCCTATGCTAATACCATCTCACTGCCAAAAAAAGGAAAAAGGAGTGTAAAAACTGACAATGATCTCGTAACAGAAAATAGCTATTGGATTTTGGTGGGCGGTACAACTAGGGAAACGTCAGAGTTGCCATTTTTGAAAACCACAGCGCCTTTCTTCACTTATTGTAGAGCCGCGAATGCGGGGCAATCCTAGAGAATGAAGGCCAGCTACTTGCACAAGGAAGGACGCCTACTATTCACTTGGGGACTGTTTTCAGCGTTTACATTTCGAAAATTTCAGAGGTGGTTCGACCTAAATAAACCTTAGTAGAGCTTCGAGCATGTGAACTGGTCGCCTATAGGCCCAAAACCACAATGCTTTTTGGGAATCCATCACATCGTATCCTGACAGCGCAAGCTGCAGGCATACAAAAGGTCCATGTGTATAACAATAAAAAGAAAATATATAAATATAGAATAGTTCAAATAATAATTAGTTTGTTATAAAAACACTGACGCGAGCAACTGCATCAGGCAGATCAGTTCTCGAGCCACACCACTTCCACTGAACTTAGATGGTCTGGAAAAACGAAACGAAAACAGAACGAAACACAAAGACTTGCAGAGAAGTTCATGCACAGAGTGCAGTTCACATGCAGTACAACACATCATGTTACCACAGCAATGGATGCAATTGGTGAACATTATCTTCAGGCCGCGCGCGGTGGTTAGTAGTGTGTGGCACCCGAGAACCAACCTGCTTCTGCTGTTGTTGTTGTTCTGATTGTTGCAGTTGGGTTTGACTTTGGTTTGTGGCGATGACCTCCGCCGCTGCAGCCGCAGCTTTGGCCGCCCCGGCTGCCGCTGCTGCCGCGCTATTGCTAGCATTAGCTTTATGGGCCAGAAACAGTTCATGATTCAATTCCTGAAACGACACAACACAACACTTACACACACATTAACATAATATTGCATCACACAGTCTTGTACGCTAGGAATGCTGGGGCGGTCAAGGGACTGGGTTTGGCGCGGCGCCAACACGTTGTCCACCAACTGTTGTCGCTTGCTTGCTTCAACAATTGATGGAAAACAGGCTGGCGCTGCGCCAAACCCAGTCCTCCTGACACGCCCAGCACCCGCCGTGAACAAGACTTTATGGTCCATCACACATTCGTATTGGAAGGATTGTTTGCCGCAGTATCTTGTCATGTTACTGCGCACTACGTTCCTCTGCCAGATGTTCCACTTACGAACTCCAGAAATGAGTAAAGAAAGTGCATGCTTACACCAAAGGTCAACCATAACATAAACCAGGGTTCAGTTCAGCAACGGGGAGGGCCAGTTTGCACTACTGCTACTTCTCATACAGCTGTCCACCCATCTAAGGAGCCATTTCGTGAGAATACTTGAGCTGACAGGTTTCACCATGGTGGCTTGACGAGCTTGCTCCAGCTTCACAAGAGTTCACAGGTTTCACCAGAGTGAGACTTGTAAACCGGAACTAGTGAAGCAGCAAAAGTGCAAAGCGCCCCTCTCGCCAAACTGCGCCCATAGACCACTCATCACCACCACCTCAATTTTTCCAATGGAAGTTACCGCAAAACAAAGTTATTTTATGGAAGTTATAAAAAACAATAGGAATGAAAACAGAAAAAGGAAGCAACTAATCATTGCTGCCAAACTGCTAACCTGACATCGATGGAATAGCTCGAGAGAACGATCTTCCATCATGTCCGGATCTATCTTGCCATGGATTTTCGACTGATGATTCTCCATTTGATCCTTACGGTAATGTTCTACCGTGCAACCTTCGAAGAGACATCGGAAACGGAAAGTCTGAAATATAGGGAAGTGATGTTCATAACGTCTAGCCTTTAGCAACGCCAAGTGTAAAAAAGTGAGTGGTAGGAATAAAGTATTAGGGTGTCCACAAAGTTCGTTGGCCATTCGTTTTTTGCAGAGCTTATAAAGATAACTCACCAAGTTGAACTTACCGGTCCATGATATAATCTCCATGCATACCCACCACCTTTCGCCAACGATCGGGTAGAGAGGCAACTCCATCCTCCCAAAAGCCGGCCGGCCGCGACTCGCCCAGTCCTCGATCACGTCCTCGAGGTCGCGCTCGTTCTTCAGCTGTTTTCCGTCCAGGAAGTTTCGCATGGACCGGAAGATGTGGTAATCGCATGGACTGATGTCCGGGCTATACGGTGGATGCGTGAACGTCTTGATGCCCAGCCTGTCCAGGACGGCCTGAGTATCTCTCGCTTTGTGGGGGCGCGCGTTGTCCCAGAGCAACCACGGATTTGCAAGTTTCTGGGACAAGGCGGCAGCTTTCACCTTGACCTCCTGCAATTCTTTAGAGAGGGTCTCTGCCGTCACTGTGGCATTGTTGGGTAGGATGCTATAGTGGACGACGCCGTGACGAGAGAACCAGAAACCTCGGCATATCTTCGATGCCATAGTTTCCATTGGTGAAGCGAGTCCCCCATTTTGACATCCAGTTCTTAGAAGGGGTGTTATCACCAAACTGCTGACGCATCCTGGTCGTGGCCTGACGTCTGGAGATGTCCAGATTGTAGTAGTCCAGCAACTATCACTCATCTTCACTGCTTTATTGTGGAAAGATCAGGAAAGGAAATTTAGAGCTAGCTAGCTCAGAAGATAGCCCATCGCGAGTACTTTCAGTATTGCGAAATCATTATGCAAAATCACAACGCGTTGCGTAACGCGACGCTGTTTACAAATGGCCAACGAACTTTAAAAATCGTAAGACTGCACCGTTAATCAACCGAAGAAGTAATAGACTACAACGAAAGCAGTCGCGCTGGTTTGGGACTAGGCCGCGTTCATAGTTTGTCTGCGTTTTGAGCGACTGCAGAAGTATAGATGGCGATCCACCGTTTTTAGTGTACGTCAACGTTTCCAGCGATTGCTCGCAAAGTTCAAGCTCGCGAAACGCTCAGAAAGCGACCGTTGTTCTCAAAGAGTAGGCCGATACCTATACTTTCTTAGTCGCCAAAACGCTCAAAATGCTGCCGTATGCTCAAAATAGGTGGAAAGTATGAAAGCAGAACTCCCAATGAGCTTTAGTCTAACTACCATTGCAATCGGGCTCACACATGGCATAATTTCAAACTAAAAAGAAAAATGGATCAGAGTGGTAGCAGAAAGCCGAAGCACTTACCCCATGATCCTTGGCGAGATGGAAGAACATATGCATTTGACGTGCACCCGCAGTTACTGGTTTCTGACACTTACTACATTCACCCAGCACTCGTTTCTTTGATATTCTGGAACTAATACGAAATAATGGAAAAACGGCTCATACTTCAGCAAATATGACGTTTAGTTTTGAAAAAAAGAGCTATAGACTTAAGAATACTCACGCGCTGCTCAGTGCTTTCGCACTTTGGCTTTTTGAGGGTTTTTCCGGATGCGAATCAGCATAGCTATCATCCAGCCGCCCGTCTGATGCGAACAAGGCTGCCACGTTGTCCAGTACCGAGCTTAAAGCAGTATCGTAGACTAGCACGTTCATAGGGGCGTTATAAAGAGCAACAGGGAAAAAAGAAAAACATTTCAAAATGAAATAAAGTAGCCACTCTCATGCCTTGCCACTGGGAGGATTTGGCGATTTGGTAGATTTTGCGATTTGGTTGA